GATTTCACGATAAGATTTATAGTATGGGCTAAGCATCGGTGATTATACATTTTTTTTTATAATTTTTTTCTATATATTCTATCAATAAATTAACTCCATGGATAACATTAGCCCCATTATCATTCGTTATGCTTATTACTTTGCTAATAATTTCATATTCCTCTAAAGTTGTTTTTATTATTTCAAAAATATCCTGACCACCATGGGGGTGTGGGAATATAAGAATATCTAATAAGAAATTCTTTATCATCCATGTTTTATCTATATAGTGGATTGTTAATGAACAAAACGTCATTTTATTTAATCCGGTCCAAATATCGGTTGTTAAGGAGACTTCACTACGAAGCTCGTGAAGATTGGTAATAATGTTTTTTTTTGCAGAGATGTATATATTATTGAGGTATTTAGTTGCAGTTTGCCTGCACCAAATCTTACAATTTTTATTTAGATATTTGAAAATATCTATAAAATATAAGCCTAAAGAATTAAACGATATATTTTGTTTAATTAGATATCGCAATATTAATTTATTAATATGCGTATTTTCATTAGCCGTTAATTTTCTTGATCCAAATAACGTTTCAGGTATATCATCTTGAAAATTATTATTAATCGTTTCCGGGTGCACAGTCTGCATGTGCTTCTTCAAATTCGCTAAAAAAAATAAAGTATAAATTTATAAATTAACTCAATATATACTTGTAGCTGTACTAGCCTGATAATGTTTATCACACAAATTATATTTACGTCTTGTTTTTTTTGGTGTAGTCTGGAAACTATTTTTAAAATTATAATTCTCCAATCGAATGGTTCTAGATAAATTATCAAGGTCAGAACCGAATACTGAATTATTAAGTATTTCCTAAATAAAATATAATTAGGAGGATATTTTATAAATTATTATCAGAAAAAAAAATTAAAATTTTTACAAAATAAATTTATGAAAATTATAATAAACACCGGAGTATTGAAAGGTTAAAATTATTAAAGTCTACCTCTCCAATGGAAATAATAGAATCATCCATAAAATAAAAAAATTAATATTTTTATTGAAAATATTTAAAAAAATATAAAATTATAAATATGAAAATTTTTTAACAAAAAAATATTTTTATGAGGATAAAATTATTAAAGTCTACCTCTCCAATGGAAATAATAGAATCATCCATAAAATAAAAAAATTAATATTTTTATTGAAAATTTTGTATATAAGAAAATATTTAAAAAAATTAATATTTTTATTGAAAATTTTGTATATAAGAAAATATTTAAAAAAATATAAAATTATAAATATGAAATTTTTTAACAAAAAATTAATATTTTTATTATTTAAAATAATCTAATTTTTTGGGAAAAAAAAGGAAAGGGAGGGGAGGGGAGGGAATAGAATTGGATTGGAAGTTAAAAAAAAACAAAAAATAAGTAAAAAACGGAAGTTATTAATATAAAAAAAATAAAACTTAAATTTTAACATGCCAGCCAGCCGGCAAAAGGATTCAAAAGAATATAAATAATTGTTATTTTTTTCGAAAAATTTTTTTTTAAAAAAAATATTAAATCAAGGAAGGAGGGGGAGGGGTATTTTTAGAACAAAATTATAATACTATAATACATACTTTTAATAATTTTATATATTTTTTTATTATATTTTATTCTAGGAATTTAATAAATTAATCTTAAAGTTTGATATATCATGTTGTATATCTCTTAAAAATTTTTCTCTATGTAGGGGAGACCGGGGTAAAGCGATTGACGGGGTAACAATGTTAACACGAATAACTTTTAAACCCTTGAGCACAAAGATTATAAATTTGGTGTGAAGATGAATTTTTATATTTAATAATTTCTTACCTATGTTCATCTTTTAAAAAACTTACCTGGTTTTATCTATTTTGTCAAAATGTTTTTTACCCCAAAAATATAAAAATCATTCTCTAGTATATTTTGCTTTTACTAAAATATACATATCCTCAGGATTCAAAATTTGGCACACATGTTCCTTAATGTAATGTATTAGTTATAAAATAAAATTTATCCGACATCTAAGCTATACTAGAAGCCACGCAATAACGATGTTTATAATATATGTCACCTTGGGGTAAAGCTGTTATGGGTCGGTTAAAATATATAATTCAGTAACACCAAATAATAAAAAAAAGTATATTTTAACAACTTTGTATAATTCTTTATATATTTGATATCTTTCTTTTATATATAAAATATTTTTAAATATAAAATCAGCTCAGAATTCGGCTCAAACGGCTGATTGAGCCGCTCAATGCTGAGCCGTTTATTACGACTAAAAACTCGACTCGAGTGGCGACTTAGCCGTTTAACAACACTATGAAGACCTTCAGTCTAAAGATATTAAAATTAGCTTTTATTTGATACCCATATCTAGTGTTGTTAATTAGTCGAGTTCTTTCGACTACGACTAATAGTCGTAGTCATGGAAATCGACTAAAAACTTTAGCGACTAAATTAGTCTATTAGTCGACTAATTTGGTCGACTAAAACGACTAATTAGTCGACCTAAAACGACTAATTAGTCGACCTAAAACGACTAATTAGTCGACTAAAACGACTAATATAGTCGACTAAAACGACTAACATAGTCGACTAAAACGACTAACATATAGTCGACTAAAACGACTAATTTAGTCGACTAAGTTGATTTTTTTAGTTAGCAGCATATATAGGTTAAAGGTAAAAATATATATCGTAAACATATTAAGTTAAAATTTCAGTGAAGATGTACCATACATAAGTGACAATTGTCATAATCGTTATTTTTGAACTTTTTTGAATTTTTTCAAAGCAAATAGGTAAAAATATATATTGTAAAGATGTTAAAATAAAATTTCAGTGAAGATGTACCATAGATAGGTGACAATTGTCATAATCGTTATTTGTGAACTTTTTTGAATTTTTTTAAAACAAATAGGTAAAAATATATATTGTAAAGATGTTAAAATAAAATTTCAGTGAAGATGTACCATAGAAAGGTGACAATTGTCATATTCGTTATTTTTTAACTTTTTGGAATTTTTTTAAAGTAAATAGGTAAAAATATATATTGTAAAGATGTTAAAATAAAATTTCAGTGAAGATGTACCATAGATAGGTGACAATTGTCATAATCATTATTTGTGAACTTTTTTGAATTTTTTCAAAGCAAATAGGTAAAAATATATATTGTAAAGATGTTAAAATAAAATTTCAATGAAGATGTACCATAGATAGGTGACAATTGTCATAATCGTTATTTGTGAACTTTTTTGAATTTATTTAAAACAAATAGGTAAAAATATATATTGTAAAGATGTTAAAATAAAATTTCAGTGAAGATGTACCATAGAAAGGTGACAATTGTCATATTCGTTATTTTTGAACTTTTTTTAATTTTTTTAAAGTAAATAGGTAAAAATATATATTGTAAAGATGTTAAAATAAAATTTCAGTGAAGATGTACCATAGATAGGTGACAATTGTCATAATCGTTATTTGTGAACTTTTTTGAAATTTTTTAAAACAAATAGGTTAAAATATATATTGTAAAGATGTTAAAATAAAATTTCAGTGAAGATGTACCATAGATAGGTGACAATTATCATATTCGTTATTTTTGAACTTTTTTGAATTTTTTTAAAGTAAATAGGTAAAAATATATATTGTAAAGATGTTAAAATAAAATTTCAGTGAAGATGTACCATAGATAGGTGACAATTGTCATAATCGTTATTTGTGAACTTTTTTGAATTTTTTTAAAACAAATAGGTAAAAATATATATTGTAAAGATGTTAAAATAAAATTTCAGTGAAGATGTACCATAGAAAGATGACGATTGTCATAATCGATATTTTTGAACTTTTTTAAAGTAAATAGGTAAAAATATATATTGTAAAGATGTTAAAATAAAATTTCAATGAAGATTTACCATAGAAAAGTGACAATTGTCATAATCATTATTTGTGAACTTTTTTGAATTTTTTCAAAGCAAATAGGTAAAAATTTATATTGTAAAGATGTTAAAATAAAATTTCAGTGAAGATGTACCATAGAAAGGTGACAATTGTTATAATCGTTATTTTTGAACTTTTTTTAAAGTAAATAGGTAAAAATATATATTGTAAAGATGTTAAAATAAAATTTCAGTGAAGATGTACCATAGAAAGGTGACAATTGTCATAATCGTTATTTTTGAACTTTTTTTAAAGTAAATAGGTAAAAATATATATTGTAAAGGTGTTAAAATAAAATTTCAGTGAAGATGTACCATAGAAGAATGATAATTGTCATAATCGTTATTTAAAATATTTTCGAATTTTTAAAAGTGCTAACGGATCTTTGAAAAATTTTAACAATAGGAAGGCTAACAAACTTTTAATTTTTATTTTTCATTTAAAATTCATTAGATAAACATTAAAAAATATATTCTTATAAAAAAAATTTTAAATACCAGATTATCGATAACTGTTTCGGATGTTATCGTCGGAAAAATTAATGAGTTAATAAAAATACTTGTAGGATTTGATTACAATTATTTCGTCCTATAATTGATAAAATTATAAACATCAGAACTGTTTTTTTTCGGCGAAAAGAGAACTTATTTTGGATGTGTAATATTTACTTCCTACATTTTGCTGAAAAAAATAGTAAAGGTATTTCTAAAGGCCTTGGAAAAACTTACACAATTGGCAATATCATCATTTAAATCGAATATTTTTTTATGCTTACTAAATTATGAAATTTATAGTAAGGGTGAAACTAAATAATTTATTTTTTATTAGATGCTTAAAAAATTTGAAGAATGGGCATATTTATATTTATATGGGGGGCGAGCGTGGTTTAAATTTTTTTATATGGGCAGGGCAAGACGAAAAGTCTATAAAAATTATTTAAATTTTTATTTCACATTTTTTTACCCATGATTAAATATCGCTTCAATCACTAAAAATTCTGCATTCTTTGTGATAAAAAAAATTCAAAGGAAGACGCATTTAATTTAATTCAATTTATTAATAAATAAACGTACACATAATATAAAAATATTTTCATTAAAATACGCGGAAATATATATTAAAAAATGTTAATATAATATCATTATAAAAGTTCTATGTCCCAGCAATCAATAGATAAACATTGCTTCAAAGTGATGGATGAAAGGCGGTTACGTTTTTTAGTCATGCATTCCACCGCTTTGCTAAAGATTCTTTCGCTGGCAACACTCGTAGTTTGCTGAGCCAAAAAGTCTCTGGCCATTAAAGACGGATATATTGAGCTGTTTTTTTGCCACCAATCGAGTGGTTGTATGACTAGCTACTTCCTCTTTTAAATATGTATCTATTTCATCTGTGGCATGTTGTGGAATTTCATAATTAGCCCTAAATAATAAAGACAATATATATATAACTATGTAATCATATTTACCTTCTTAGTTTATTATGTATACGCACAGAATAAGGTATGGCTTCCATATCGGGCTCATTGTAATCGTACGCTGACGATCCATTGTACTTTTATATTTAATATATAACGTTTCGAAATTTTTAAAATAATCAGGATTATTTATAAATTTAGGCAAAAATTTTTTCTTTGTCTTTGGGTCTAACAAACACGATATATAATTTGAAAGAGTATTTATGTGTTTAATATATATCTTTGATTTTTTTAACATAACACTAGCATTTTATTGTTTCGTTTTCATGATTTTCACTAACATCTTCTAGTGTTTTGACAATTTCATCTATAAATAAAACTGCCGAACCAATTGTAGAATTTGTATCTGAGGATATTTCTTGGGTAATATTGAAGAATGGTTTCAAAAATATTTCAATATCTTTTAAAAATTTAGCCTCTTCATTATTTATAATAATTTGATTATCAGGAAGGCTGCCTTTCTTGCCTAAATCATTTACCACATCAATATTCTTTAAATATAAAATTAAATTTAAAAATGGTTTTTGTTATTACTTTGTTAATTATGGAAATCATTAAGAATTTGGAATTCCATCTTGTGACGACATCAAGTGGTATACGAGTCCCACCTGATAATTCCATATATTCCTTCATAAATTTGGGGGAATTATGCAACTTTTTAACGAATTTATTTATTTTTTCCAATTTTTCATTCATGATATTCATTCCTGAGCTCACTATTATATTTAATATATGAGCCAGGCATCTAATGCTATATAGAGAATAACCGTATTTATCTATATAAAATTTTGTCATAATAGACACAGAGGAGAGGAAATTTTTTGCATTATCGATAGTAATGGACATTACTTTTTCTTGTAAGCCAAAAGATTGGAGAGAGGATAAAAGATTGATATTTCCTCACCCGTATGTGGATGAGGTAAATCTATTAGATCAAGTAGGAAATTGACAAATTTCCAATTTTTGTCAATATAATGTATTGTTATAGAACAATAAGATATTGAGTTTATTCCGGTCCATATGTCCGTTGTAAGGCAGATTTTACTATTGACCTGTTTAAGGTCTTTAATAATTTTATTTTTAGATTTTTTATATAAATCTTTAACATAGCAGGCAGCCGTCTGCCTGCACCATATTCTCTCATTTTTAAATATAAAAGAGAAAATATCTCTGAAATATGGAGATTCTATTTTATTAAATGAGATGTTACATTTTATAATATATCTCATAATTAATTTATTCAATTGTGTATTTTCGTGAGATACTAAATTTCTTATCCCCACTAATGAATGTCTTTTTTTGTTTTTGTTTTCCATTTTTAATTGCGAATGTGATTTAGAAATGTGCCTTTTTAAATTTGCTAAAAATATATTATAATCGTATATTAAATTTTAATAATACATACTTGAGGCTGTATTTAAACTATAATGTGTATTGCAGTATATACACTTTCGGCGAGATTTTGTCGGAGTCATCTTGAATACATTGGAAATATTTAACTTACTAGATGTAGATATATCTGAAATCTGTGATAAGTCACATATAATAGCATCTTGGCTAGTCAAGGGCTCTATCTATATATTATTTATACATAAAAAATATATTTTATCATTTGTGATTTATTGTTATTATAAAAAAGAATATATTATATTATATATTTTTAAAATTTTATACTATCGAAATATATTACATCTGAATCTGTGTCAAACCCACGAATATTGATTCCTTCATTGTTTATGATTTCATAACTATTTTCTACTGCAATGTGAAAACTATCGGCCTTTTGATTCTAAAAAATATTGTGTATAGTTAATGTTGTTAATGTACTTATTGAGTTAATTTTTGGGCGAAAAATCGACCCAAAATGACTCTGGTAGGAATTGATGCATACTTATAATGGATCAAGATCGATAGAATTAAAGATTCAAGTAAGAATTGAATAAATAGATAAGAAAAATGAGTATAACCATGTGTTAAGGGAACAAGCATTAAACTTAGCACGAGAGGAAGATAATAGCGTAACATACGTGAATAAATAATATAAAAAAAAATACGTGAATAAATAATATTAAACAAAGAAAAAAGACGCAAGGTCTAAAAGTCGAAAGGCTGCATGATACGAAAGGCTAAAAAATAATATTGAAAATAAAAATAACAAAGAAAATGATTAATGTGTAATTTGATTGATTTATTGCTTTTTTTACGAGAAAAATATTATAATAACATTACATTATAATATATTAAAAAAATGGAAATTTTAAGATCTTTTCAATTTTTTTATTAATTCTTTGAAATAAATTACGGTTTTAATTTTATTTAATTTTATTAATTTTTAATTTATATTTTTAATTAAATTATATTTATTTATTTAAAAAAAATGGAATATAATATATTAAAAAAATGGAAATTTTAAGATCTTTTCAATTTTTTTATTAATTCTTTGAAATAAATTGCGGTTTTATTTTTATTTAATTTTTATTTTTAATTAAATTATATTTGGTTATTTTAAAAAAATGGATTATAATATTTCAATTTTTTTATTAATTCTTTGAAATAAATTGCGATTATAATTTTATTTAATTTTATTAATTTTTAATTTATATTTTTAATTAAATTATTTGGTTATTTTAAAATATGGGAATTTTTAAAATTATATGTATATTCTATTTAAGTTTTTTTTCAAAACTAAATTGATAGTAAGTATAACGATATTGTGAGTACTGGATTAGGGAAAAGGCTAACATCTTATATGCAATTTTGAATATTTTTATATCATTCTACTCAGAATTAAATTTCCTATCCAATTATGCTTTGATGTATTTTTTTACGTTATTGGTTCAAAAAATAAATTTTAAAAATTTTTTTGTGGTAAAAACGTTGGAAGGGAAAAGGCTAACATCTTATATGCAATTTTGAATATTTTTATATCATTCTACTCAGAATTAAATTTCCTATCCAATTATGCTTAGATGTATTTTTTTACGTTTCCGGTTCAAAAAATAACATTTTTGTCGCGAAAACGTTCGAAGGGAAAAGGCTAACATCTTAAGTTTAATTTTTTAAATTTTTATATCATTGAAATCAGAATTAAATTTCCTATCTAAATATGCTTTGATGTATTTTTTTACGATATCGGTTCAAAAAATAAATTTTAAAAATTTTTTTGTGGTAAAAACGTTGGAAGGGAAAAGGCTAACATCTTATATGCAATTTTGAATATTTTTATATCATTCTACTCAGAATTAAATTTCCTATCCAATTATGCTTAGATGTATTTTTTTACGTTTCCGGTTCAAAAAATAACATTTTTGTCGCGAAAACGTTAAAAATTTAAAAATTTAAACTTAAGATGTTAGCCTTTTCCCTTCGAACGTTTTCGCGACAAAAATGTTATTTTTTGAACCGGAAACGTAAAAAAATACATCTAAGCATAATTGGTTAGGAAATTTAATTCTGAGTAGAATGATATAAAAATATTCAAAATTGCATATAAGATGTTAGCCTTTTCCCTTCCAACGTTTTTACCACAAAAAAATTTTTAAAATTTATTTTTTGAACCGATATCGTAAAAAAATACATCATAGCATATTTAGATAGGAAATTTAATTCTGAGTTCAATGATATAAAAATTTAAAAAATTAAACTTAAGATGTTAGCCTTTTCCCTTCGAACGTTTTCGCGACAAAAATGTTATTTTTTGAACCGGAAACGTAAAAAAATACATCTAAGCATAATTGGATAGGAAATTTAATTCTGAGTAGAATGATATAAAAATATTCAAAATTGCATATAAGATGTTAGCCTTTTCCCTTCCAACGTTTTTACCACAAAAAAATTTTTAAAATTTATTTTTTGAACCGATATCGTAAAAAAATACATCAAAGCATATTTAGATAGGAAATTTAATTCTGATTTCAATGATATAAAAATTTAAAAAATTAAACTTAAGATGTTAGCCTTTTCCCTTCGAACGTTTTCGCGACAAAAATGTTATTTTTTGAACCGGAAACGTAAAAAAATACATCTAAGCATAATTGGATAGGAAATTTAATTCTGAGTAGAATGATATAAAAATATTCAAAATTGCATATAAGATGTTAGCCTTTTCCCTTCCAACGTTTTTACCACAAAAAAATTTTTAAAATTTATTTTTTGAACCGATATCGTAAAAAAATACATCAAAGCATATTTAGATAGGAAATTTAATTCTGATTTCAATGATATAAAAATTTAAAAAATTAAACTTAAGATGTTAGCCTTTTCCCTTCGAACGTTTTCGCGACAAAAATGTTATTTTTTGAACCGGAAACGTAAAAAAATACATCTAAGCATAATTGGTTAGGAAATTTAATTCTGAGTAGAATGATATAAAAATATTCAAAATTGCATATAAGATGTTAGCCTTTTCCCTTCCAACGTTTTTACCACAAAAAAATTTTTAAAATTTATTTTTTGAACCGATATCGTAAAAAAATACATCAAAGCATATTTAGATAGGAAATTTAATTCTGAGTTCAATGATATAAAAATTTATAAAATTAAACTTAAGATGTTAGCCTTTTCCCTTCGAACGTTTTCGCGACAAAAATGTTATTTTTTGAACCGGAAACGTAAAAAAATACATCTAAGCATAATTGGTTAGGAAATTTAATTCTGAGTAGAATGATATAAAAATATTCAAAATTGCATATAAGATGTTAGCCTTTTCCCTTCCAACGTTTTTACCACAAAAAAATTTTTAAAATTTATTTTTTGAACCGATATCGTAAAAAAATACATCATAGCATATTTAGATAGGAAATTTAATTCTGAGTTCAATGATATAAAAATTTAAAAAATTAAACTTAAGATGTTAGCCTTTTCCCTTCGAACGTTTTCGCGACAAAAATGTTATTTTTTGAACCGGAAACGTAAAAAATACATCTAAGCATAATTGGATAGGAAATTTAATTCTGAGTAGAGTGATATAAAAATATTCAAAATTGCATATAAGATGTTAGCCTTTTCCCTTCCAACGTTTTTACCACAAAAAAATTTTTAAAATTTATTTTTTGAACCGATATCGTAAAAAAATACATCAAAGCATATTTAGATAGGAAATTTAATTCTGATTTCAATGATATAAAAATTTAAAAAATTAAACTTAAGATGTTAGCCTTTTCCCTTCGAACGTTTTCGCGACAAAAATGTTATTTTTTGAACCGGAAACGTAAAAAAATACATCTAAGCATAATTGGATAGGAAATTTAATTCTGAGTAGAATGATATAAAAATATTCAAAATTGCATATAAGATGTTAGCCTTTTCCCTTCCAACGTTTTTACCACAAAAAAATTTTTAAAATTTATTTTTTGAACCGATATCGTAAAAAAATACATCAAAGCATATTTAGATAGGAAATTTAATTCTGATTTCAATGATATAAATATTTAAAAAATTAAACTTAAGATGTTAGCCTTTTCCCTTCGAACGTTTTCGCGACAAAAATGTTATTTTTTGAACCGGAAACGTAAAAAAATACATCTAAGCATAATTGGATAGGAAATTTAATTCTGAGTAGAATGATATAAAAATATTCAAAATTGCATATAAGATGTTAGCCTTTTCCCTTCCAACGTTTTTACCACAAAAAAATTTTTTAAATTTATTTTTTGAACCGATATCGTAAAAAAATACATCAAAGCATATTTAGATAGGAAATTTAATTCTGAGTTCAATGATATAAAAATTTAAAAAATTAAACTTAAGATGTTAGCCTTTTCCCTTCGAACGTTTTCGCGACAAAAATGTTATTTTTTGAACCGGAAACGTAAAAAATACATCTAAGCATAATTGGATAGGAAATTTAATTCTGAGTAGAGTGATATAAAAATATTCAAAATTGCATATAAGATGTTAGCCTTTTCCCTTCCAACGTTTTTACCACAAAAAAATTTTTAAAATTTATTTTTTGAACCGATATCGTAAAAAAATACATCAAAGCATATTTAGATAGGAAATTTAATTCTGATTTCAATGATATAAAAATTTAAAAAATTAAACTTAAGATGTTAGCCTTTTCCCTTCGAACGTTTTCGCGACAAAAATGTTATTTTTTGAACCGGAAACGTAAAAAAATACATCTAAGCATAATTGGATAGGAAATTTAATTCTGAGTAGAATGATATAAAAATATTCAAAATTGCATATAAGATGTTAGCCTTTTCCCTTCCAACGTTTTTACCACAAAAAAATTTTTAAAATTTATTTTTTGAACCGATATCGTAAAAAAATACATCAAAGCATATTTAGATAGGAAATTTAATTCTGAGTTCAATGATATAAAAATTTAAAAAATTAAACTTAAGATGTTAGCCTTTTCCCTTCGAACGTTTTCGCGACAAAAATGTTATTTTTTGAACCGGAAACGTAAAAAAATACATCTAAGCATAATTGGATAGGAAATTTAATTCTGAGTAGAATGATATAAAAATATTCAAAATTGCATATAAGATGTTAGCCTTTTCCCTTCCAACGTTTTTACCACAAAAAAATTTTTAAAATTTATTTTTTGAACCGATATCGTAAAAAAATACATCAAAGCATATTTAGATAGGAAATTTAATTCTGATTTCAATGATATAAAAATTTAAAAAATTAAACTTAAGATGTTAGCCTTTTCCCTTCGAACGTTTTCGCGACAAAAATGTTATTTTTTGAACCGGAAACGTAAAAAAATACATCTAAGCATAATTGGATAGGAAATTTAATTCTGAGTAGAATGATATAAAAATATTCAAAATTGCATAT